CGGGTGCAGACCTGAGCAGACAGCTGCCTGCTGCAGCCAAAAGCAGGCTCCAGTTCCTGAGCTGTTAGGTAGACATACATTTAAGAATACAACAAATTTAAGTGTTAAAACACAAGGTGCATTGAGTACAACTCCTCTCCCTTCCCTCAACATTTGAGCAGGCCTCCAAACCAGCTCTGGGAAGAAGGATAATGCTGGATTAACATGTTTTGCCTCTGCTCTTTCTGGTTCTAGGAACATTAGACGAGCATGTCAAAGACAGGCCTGTGCAAGCCTTGTACCCACAACTGCATGCCAAAGAGACCCAGGCCCTGTTTCTCCAGGAATGACAGTGGTAACTCAGGAGTCAGTCAGGTGATGTTAGTGGAAGTGGAGAATGAGGTCTCTGGGATGCCTAGAAATACTGAGATCCCAAATCCCAAGGGCTTTAGCTGAAGCAGTCAGCTGAATCCCAGCTCCTTCTTTGGCGTACACACACGATTTAGTGGGGGGCAACATGAACCTGTTCAAACCAACTCCTAACAGGGGCTTTCTGATGGACACTAAGAGCTTCAGACACTGAGCACTGAACCCCCTTTATCTCCTTTGATATTTCAGCCTTGACACCTTTCCCTCATGCCAGCAGAAGGTTGCTTGCCTTTGAGCATCTGCAGATCAGCTAGACCAAGCCGGTGCGTCTCACTACCATGCAAACGATCCTGTCCCCAGAAAGGGAGCACCGGGACATTGCTCCATTCCTGCTCAGTGGACGTGAAGGAAGTGAGGATGCTTTGATGAGAAGGATGATGGTCTTGCTTCCAAAGGGAGTTGGGAACATCACTTTCCCAGCCTCTAATCAGCTTGTTAGCAGCCTAATAGTAGAGAAGTCTTGAATATTCCAAGCCCCCAATGTGAGGCAAGACTTATTGTTGAACTGCTACTTGACAGCCAGCTTTTGGCAGCCCTAAATTATCCCATGACAAGCTGCAGTGAAGAGGTGAGCAACCTTGCGCATAATCTACAATCATTATCATTTCCATCTTTATTACCCACAGTATGCCGAACACATTAAGGCAGCTTTAAGGGAGCTTTTGTTTTGCAATAATTTCTTAAGAAACCTGCTTTCTTGTTAGTATCTCCCCTGCCATCTCATCAAAATGGAAATGCTACTGAAGGCTCTATTTATTTTCTTTAATTCTCCTTCCCGCTTTCAGCCCAAGCTGTTTGACTTGGTTGCAATCTCATCTCCAGAACAGGAGGTTGGTCCAAGGTATAAGACATGTGTCAGGACTTGGGTTCATCTCCAGTGCTGATAGCACCATGAGATGGATGGTAAGCCAGAGATCCCTTCCCCAGGATCTATACCCATGATTTCAGAGCACTTTCCTGAAGGACTCCAGGGAAAGGCCCATTATCCTCAGCCAACACTCCTCCCTTATAATGTGAACAGTTCATCCCCCAAGATTTCAAAGCATCTGCCACAAAGAGCATCATAGGTGCCATGTCTACCTGTGCTAGCACTATCCAGTCATAGCAGCATGGGTGTAGGAGGTGCTGAGGCAAACTCAAGTAACTGCTCCGGCACCTCTTTGATATGAAGAGCCACTCTGGATCGACAGAGACTCCCCTCTGGCCTAGCCCTGGCAATCATCAGGAACCATGAGGAAGGACCTGCAGACTGCTTTGCAAGACCTGGTGGGTCACAGCCCTGGAAGACCTTTGCAGCACTTTCAAAAGACCCCCAGAGACAGAAGAAGGAAAGGGGAGTGTGGCTGGAGAGAAGTGGGAAAACAAGGAGATACACGAAGGTGCCAGCTAGGGTGGCCGCTGGCAGGTGTGTGAAAAGAAGGGCTGGCTGCCCATTACACCTGTACTTCTAAACTTACCTCCTGCACCTCATCACCACACAAGTGCCTTGAGATATCATCAAGTATGCCAGGCACTGAGCAGAAACCAAACTCAACTCAGCTTCCCACTCCTGAAGAGGGAGTCCGAGATAGCAGCCCACCGGGAAGGAAGCAAGATGGGGAACAGGCAGTTGGCCACGAATTTCACCAGAGCAACAGTGCAAAGGCTCATCTACATAAAGCACAAGCCAGGTGAGGGAGGGGAAGTCATTTTAACCTAGCTGCTTTGCAACTGGACTTTTTTACTAGGGATTTTGGACGTACCTATTCATATGGAGCTTTTGTTGATAAATTCATGATTCTCATTCTCACTTGATTACAACCTGGGCTTCTTACAGATGAGATTCCTTTGAAAAAGTCAATATTACTAGTTGGTAGGTAGGGAGCTAGGTCGATAGATAGATAGATAGATAGATAGATAGATAGATAGATAGATAGATAGATAGATAGATAGATAGATAGATAGATAGATAGATAGATAGATAGATAGATAGATAGATAGATAGATAGATAGATAGATAGATAGATAGATAGATAGATAGATAGATAGATAGATAGATAGATAGATAGATAGATAGATAGATAGATAGATAGATAGATAGATAGATAGATAGATAGATAGATAGATAGATAGATAGATAGATAGATAGATAGATAGATAGATAGATAGCAAGATCTCACTTTCCCTTTTGGAAATATTTCCTTCTGTACTACTTACATAGTGACACTCCTAAAAGATAACAGGCACTCAGCAATTGAAAATCCACAGGGGAGAAGTCTCCGTTTCCAATGTTATGGATATGGAGGGTGCAGTGAAAGCTGATCAGTGCCTCTTTCCAAGTCCCCGCCTGCAATCAAGTCGCTCAGACATTAATAAGCACTGGCTGCATCCTGCAGTGCTTCATGGAGTTGAAGCTAACGCTGAGCAGCCAGGCTTGAATATCCTTCCATTCATCTTCTTGGGGAGAAAGACATGAAACTGCACACCCCTTCTGCAGGCAGTGAGACTCTCCATAATCCCCACTCACTAGACTCCACCTTTCTCAATGCTGCTCTCTCGGTATTACTGATAAGGGTCTGGCCTAAGCTTACCCCATCTCCACTGACTGCAGAGTCTTAACATCGCATTGCTTAACAGATTGCAGTCTCAGACCACCTAATTTGCTGCCGACAAGACCCGAGAGAGATGGATTGCATTTTTCACCCGCCCTGCTCCCTGCTGCACGTTGTGCCATCTTTCCCCTCGCAGGCAAGCGGGGGAATTTGTCATAGAAGCTTGTGTTGCCAAAACACACAGGTGTTAATTAAAATCACAGCAACATAGTAATCGAGTGAGGAGCAGCACTGTACAGCACAGATCAGTGAGTGAGGGGAAGCTTTGAGGGGTTGTTTTTCTCTCCCTCCTTGTCTCTCTCCCCAGATGCCTCATGCTGGTAACACAATGAGTGTTCCCATACGTACAACTTTTCTTTGGGAGACCAGTTTTGCGTGGAGGAAAGGCACATGATCAGCAACCTCTAGAGGCCTCTGTTTATTCATATTGAATGGATAAAGCCAAGGCAGACTTCCTGCACTTCACATGCCTCAAAGATACCCAGCAAGTTAGGCAGGGAAGGTGTTGCACTGATGTAGGGACTGCAAAGAACATGATGAATGGATGCAGAACAGGACAAGGAAGCCACCAAGGACAGGACCATCTTTGTGCTGCAGCCACGGGGCTGTACTCTGAGTTTAGCTCCTGTCTGGGGACCTCAGACAAGTCAGGTAGGCCCAGATCCAAAGGCCTTAGGATCCAAGCTCTGATTGATTTCAATAGGAGTTAGGTGCTTAAATACCCTTGGTGGATTGAGTCCCTCATCTCTTGGGGCTTTAATTCCCTATTTGTAAAGTGGGGAAAACAATCCTGCTACTGTCTATCTTAACTAGTTAGATGATCGTGGAGAAATAGTCCCTGCCGATGGGCCTGTGCAGCGCCCAGTACAGTTGGGCCCTGGTCTCAGCTTGGTCCTCCAGTCCCCACCAGCATACAAATAACAGCAGTGCAGTTAGACAGCTGTGAAGAGCAGCTCAGGACTTCACACCTGGCAAGCATGAAAAGGGGAAATCAGGGTCTGAGGGCCCGTCTGCAGAGAATCTATCACCAATAGTGGTGGCTACAGCGCCACGGCACTTCCCTTTCAGGACCAGCAGAGACCAGGACTCGTCCATTGGTTTCTGGCCTTGCACTGGAGAAAGCCAGAAGAATCCTTCTGCTCAAGAAGCAGCCTATTTTCAGGGCCCCTTTGTGCAATCAGAACATAATTCACCCCTGGGCCAACCTCGGCCAAGCAAAGTGCCAGCCAAATGGGAAAGGATTAACCTTTTGCTTCCCAGAAGAACCCCCTGCAGTTAGCTGCGTTTCCAGGAAAACCATTACACTAGCGACTGAGGCAATCACGGGTGGCCAAAGTGCATTTAAAAGCATGACACCCATCTGCTCACAGCTTCAGTGTCCTGGGAATGGCAGCTGATGTACACATCCCATGTCTCAGCTCCCAAGACACTAACAGCAGTCCTGAAGAGGCTGCATCACCTTTAAGAGGCCCCAAGGGTCTCAGTGCCTCATAGGATCAGGCTTTTAATCTGTAGCTGAAGTAGGAGGGAGGAGTATGAAGCAATAAGGTAAAGCCCTGTGAGCCCACTCCATAAAGGACAGGAGTCTATTATACCATTGGCCCTTTAGCTCTGGCTGATATTGGGAAAGATGGGGAGAAGGACTCTCTTATGGGCATATCGAGTATCTAGGGGGAGTATCTAGGGACACTGCATCATTCTGTCTGTACGTTCAGAGCTGGCACCAGTCACATCCAAACCTGTGGGAAGGGAAGGGAAGGGAAGGCAGGGCATGAGAAAGCAGGAACAAAAGACAGACAGAAAAGGAGCCAAGAGGAAACAGGAAAAACAGAGGGAACTGATGAATATGGAGGTGGAGGAGCAAGCAGGCCCCATTCCCTATGGGAATCCAGTAGGATCATACAGAGTCCCTGCACCTCACTCCGGGCCCCTCATTCCCCACCTTCCAACAAATGAAGGATGCCAGTCATGAACTGCTCCCAACAGCTCTCCCTCCCTTACCTTTTCTGCTGACTGTGATGTCCCGAAAAATATGGGAATGAAGGCTAACCAGACGATGCAGGTAGTGTACATGGTGAACCCGATGGGTTTGGCTTCGTTAAAGGTCTCCGGGACCCCGCGGGTCTTAATAGCATACACAGTGCAGGTCACCATGAGGAGCATGCTGTACCCAAGCAAACAGATGAGGGACAGGTCAGAAATGTCACACTTGAGGATGCCCCGGGCAAAGTGGGGGTTCGTAGTCCGCTGGTCCTCATAGTCAATGATGGAGTGAGAAGGGTCCACAATGAACCAGATGCAGACCCCCACCAGCTGCAGAGAGATGAGGCTGAAGGTGATGACCAGCTGGGAGGCAGGGCTGATGAAGCGCGGGGCGCTGACTGACTTCTTGCCCTGCTCAAAGATGCGGTAGATGCGATTGGTCTTAGTGAGCAGGGCCGCGTAGCTGACACTCATGCCCAGCCCCAAGAAGATGCGTCTCAAAGAGCAGGTGCCAAGGTCAGGCTCAGCGATCATCAGGAAGGTGGTGGCATAGCAAAGGAAGATGCCCGTCAGCAAGACATAGCTGAGCTCCCGCCCCGAGGCCTTGACGATGGGCGTGTCGTTGTAGCGCACAAAGGTCACCACCACAAAGAGGGTGGCAATGATGCCCACGATGGCAATGAAGACAGGCACCACAGCCCAGGGCGAGCTCCACTCCAGCTTGACGATGGGGATGGGGACACAGCTGGTGTGGTTCTCGTTGGGGCGCTCGCTGAAGCGGCACATCTTGCAGTGGAACTCATCCAGCTGGTACTGGTACCCGTCGCAGCGCTCACAGTGCCAGCAGCAGGGGATGCCCTTCACTAGCTTCTTCCTCTCACCTGGCTTGCAGGGCAGGCTGCAGATAGAAGACGGGAGCCAGTTGCCTCCGCCAGGCCAGTGCATGCTTTCTATCTGCAGAAGGAGAGAGGAGACGCCTTGCTGAGCAACAAGTGCCTCACCAAGGGCACCAGGGTCTGGTGCACCAGTTAGCTCTGGACACAGTGTGGGGAAGCACTGGGGGTGATCATACTCCTGACCTGTACTGCAGCAGCCCTTCCCCACCTACTCCAGAGCAGTGCCCCCATTTCACACATGCAGCATCCCTTGCTGCCCTACCCTCACCCCTCCTACGAAGCTCCTTCAATGCACCTCTTTCCTTCCCTCCATCCCCATCTCAGCCTCACTCCAGTACTCTTTCACCTCTCCCAACATGGGCTGGTGTCATGACGGGATCAAGAAAGCACTGGGGAGCAGAGATGATGTCCCAACACTCATGCCACCATCAGCCTGGGAATCGATCAGAATCTAGGCCCCCAGAAGGATGATGTTGGTGCACTGACCTCCTGGCATCAACCTCTACTCTCTTCTTTAAATAAATATGCACAAGAGCATAGAAGTCTGAGGTCCAAACCATCTCCTGAGGCACTGCAGGACTAATATGACTCCTAACTGGGAGTGAGACTTGGGCTCCAGGCAGGCCTTTATACACTTCAACAGGATCTTCTACTCTGAGTGGCCACAGTAGAGAACTGGAACCCACCACTGGGGACTGGGCTACAGTCAATGGTTGTGAGGAGCAACATGACAGTGCCTGATGCTATCTTGCTCCTACCTGGCTGTTGCTGTTAGAGGGAGTGTCATTTGAATGCTTGGCATGGGAAATACTCCCAAGGGAAAGGTTGCTGGTAAAGAGGCTGTTGCTCCTACCACGTGTTGCTGCATCTGAAATGCAACTGTTCTTCCTTTCATTCACTCATATTGAGCAGGTTGTTTCTGACCCTCCATGATACTCACCAGGACGCTGCAGGGGCTGAGAGATGAAGAAAGAGCCCAAGAGCTCAGGAGGGAGATAATATACCGTGGTAAGAGCAAAAATGGCTCACAAAAAAGAGGTGGTCAGGAATTCTCAAATAAAGCATATTCCGTCCCCCATCCTCCACCCCCTTATCACAAAAAGGCCGATTCATTAAAACCAAGACACTGGGTCCAGGTTGAGTTCAACTCAGTTTCCAATGCAAGTCTTGAAATTGTCCACATGACCCATCTGGACATTTTTAAATGAAAACTCCCACTTTCCAGTTTGAAATTATTCTTTGTTTCAAGTTAAATGGTGGTAAAACTTGAGAAAAAAACCCCCCAACATTTAAAAGGCAAAATCAAAGCAACATGATTTGCCGTTATCAGAACAGTCTTTCACCTGGGCTGATCCCATTGTTTTTTTAACGTAAACAATTTTGAGATTTCAACTTTTCAGTCCAATTCAGGACAGGAAAAATGTGCAAACTTCAAGAATTCTCAAGGGATGGGAGAATTGTTTTCTGCTGATTTCTACTTATGGGGTTGCCAGACGTTCTGGCATTGAAAGGACAGAAGGAAAAATGGAGCTGTGGCTAAAACCTATTTCTTGTTTCTGAAACACAGTGCCTCGCACGTATTTAGTACCATCAGCTCAACCAGGCTAAGGTGCAAAACTGCTACGTACAAAGACCATTTCTAGAATTGATGAGCTGCAGCTATCCCTGGAGTGGAAGGACAAAAATGATAGAGAGAGAATGATAAGCTCAGCAGCGACTGTTTGTTGACCCAATGCAAACACAGTGCCTCTGGGAAAATAAAAAAAAAAAATTTTAAAGCTCCAAGCCCAGGGGCAAAGCTAAGACAAAAGACAAAAGACTTTTTTTTTGCCCGAGTTAAAAAACAAAAAAAACAAACCCTGGTGACCTCTTTGAAATGCTTTGACAGCCAAATGCTTTGGAGCTGAGACTAGAAATTTGGCCAACGGCTCATTGTTGCATCAGGGATGTGCCTTTTGCTGCCACATGAAAACCCATCTAAATTTGGTTGATTCATAAGCCTTTGAAAAACTACCATTCAAACAGGCTTG